AGAAATGCTAGGGAAGTGACTCCTGGGACACAGCTTTTAGTTGGACCAGTTTACAAGCCAGTCCCAGGCTCCTAGCTGGATGATTACAAGCACAATAGTTGGTCTGCCTTGGGATGTCAAAATGAAAAGGTTGGGCAAGATTTACAGCTTCAGGCTTAACATCCAGTTTTCCTTGAAATAACCAAGAATTTGTGGTTCTATAAAACACCCCCACTTTGAGGAAACATACTGAGGATTGCTGGTGGGGATGAACTGTAATACGACTGATGAAGAAACTCTGTAGCCCTGGGATGTTTGGGTGTCACCTTTTTGCAGACAAAACCCAGCTTCATCCAAGCCTCAGAGAGAGGAAAGAAGAAGGAAGGGAGGAGGAATTCATCTACCCTATCAGCTCTTTACGTTTTTGATAAAAGTAAGTGCAATTGGTGAATCATATGCTTCCCTTTTGATCAGATGAGCTGATAAGAGTGAAACTAACTATAAGAAAGTAAATTAAAAGCAGATCAGAGATTAAATCCCTATGGCATTTTTTCTCTTGGATTTTGGCTGCTCCTTATAGACATCTTCTGCTTTTGTCATCTTTTTACTTAACCCTAGATAGCTGCAGGCTTCTAGATTGCAGAACTGGTCAGGTTATGCGATGACTCCTGGTATCACAGATTCCTACGTTAGAAGTTTGATGGCTTTTATTTCTGTGAATCTCTGTTATTGACCAAAAATCAAAAGCAATCATTCTTCTTTTTGGCTGCAGGTATTGTAAGATGCATGCACGCTAGCCCAGCATTACAGGTGGCAGTACAGACTTCTGCTATTAGCATTCACAGCCTGAAGCTTGTTGTGGTCTCATCCTGTATATACTGCAACCAAAGCATTTTGCTAACGATACCTGCGCTGGGCTCAGAAATTTCTTAGAATGTTTCAGGACCCTCCTCACAAAACAAATCATGTGTAAGGCCCATTAGTCGCCTGAGACTAGAGAATTCAAACACTGGTAGATGCATATTTATTTATTAGGAAGCTGTGTATGAGTGAAGCAGCAAAAAAACCCGCAGACATAACTTCAAGCTAGTAATTTAGGCTGTTTAGTCAGTGGCACTGCTTATAAATCCTTTTATGGATGCCTTATCCTGTTTTAAGATAGATGTTGGAGACAGGTGGAATGAATTGCATTCGAGGGATGCCTCTAACCCTGTTGACCATGGAAACAATCAGTGTAAGCGCCGCGGCTTGCTTTTAGACAGCTGAAGGTAGAGGCAGTGAATCCATCAAACATGTATCTAAATCTTTTTGCTGGTTCAGAGCCCAAGACTGCATTCACTTCATGGACAAGCAGGGCGAGCTTGGGTCTGCTTGCAAGACACTTTGAACACATCCCTAATTCGTCCTGACCTTCTCATGGACAAGCATAATGGGCTGTATTTCTCATCAGACATGTATTGCAGCAGGCAGCACATTCTTGCAAATTGCCCCAGAATACTCTCTGGGTTTGAAACTTGTTTTGCTTTATTGAATGCTGAACCTGGAAATGGTCTCAGTAATGCTTATGCAGGGACAGTGCTATGTCTAGGTGATAAACCTCTAGTTATACATGGAAGGATCCCCTTAGCTCTTCTAGACACAGTTCTGCATTAGGAGATTTTTCTACATCAGGTCAGTTTTCTTTTGTTATCCCATTTTCAGACAGATTCAGAAAGAATTGCTACTTTCTGAAATAGCCTCTCATCCTGTAATACAATACATCTTCTATGAGCATAGTAACTATTTTAAAATCTGAAATTATGCTTAAAATCCTACACTATTGCAAACACAGGCAAACCCATCCTTCTTCTTATTTAGCATTTTTTATTCTAGGAACCTGGTTTGCTCATGAGATCTTAATTTCATTTAGAACTCTAAAGTTAGTCAATCAATAAACAGTTCCTTTTCCTGCAAATGCGGCATATAATTTTATGCCTTCTGCAAGAGTTCCCAAAGGTTCCTAAGTCAGATTGGAAACTCGGCTGTGATAAATACATGTAAAAGGTATGAAGTATAGGACTAAGAGGTCTTCAGTATTATTCACCAGGGAATTGCAGGTAGATTTTTTAATGTAATTTCTTCCACTCACAGGCATTCATTGACATTTCATCTACAATTGGTCACTGTAGAAGGAAAAGAGGAAAATGCAACCTGGTGAGCTTTTTGCTTTATCAAGGGCTATGAAATCCTTCAATCCCGTATAAAATGCCAGTCGGATCAGATGTCACAAACAGAAGAACTATGGCTAGCACCGCCGATCCATCAACTTCAGTAAGTAAAGGCCACCAGCCCCGAATCTCGTTGTTATTAGATCTTACATCTGGATCTTTGGCGTAAGTGAACATGATGCAAGAGCTTGTAAAAATCACATGGCACCCCTTTGGTTATTGGAACAAAGACACGGAAAAGACTTGTTGGATCTCTTACCTCAGTTTGCTGCCAGTGCAGAGGAACCCCGAGGGTACATGTGAGCAATAAAACTCACTATGTTGACTGAAGGAATATCAATTCAGTGTAGTGAAACAGCAAATGCTAGGAGACCAATCAGTTAAAATACGACGCACAAGTACCTGCAGACCCACATGTGGAAAGCATTCATCTCCCTGCCCTTCTTTTGGGTCCTAATTCAGCAATGCATGTGTGGAAGTGCCTTACTGCATCAGGACCAAGGACATTTAAATTACAAATGAAAATACTATCTATGACTAAATGCAGAACATGGTTTAGGGACACAGATTATTCTGTGATTAAGTGGCTATATGTTTTATTGATCAGTAAGGGGCATGAAAAGTGATCCGTAAAAAGTTATTTCTTCCTGCTTCCACTTCAAATTCATTGACAGTTGTATTTTACTTACATTTTTCTTTCTTCTTATTGGTAAATGTTGGCAAAGACTAGAATGTTAATTTTAGTGTGTATAAATAATTTATTGAATAATATATGAAAATGAATTTGATGTGTTTCTTTATATGAATGACATTCTATTGTTGAAATTTATTAATCAGCACATTCTGCTCCATCAAACCTAAATTTTTTGAGGAAGAGGAGGGGAGGAGGTGGAGAGGCGGTTTGGAAAAATGCAGTACAGTGGGCTGACTAAATCTGAATACTTAGTCTCTGAAAATGCACATATCAGTATAATTCAAATCATATTGATGAGATACAGAACAGTTATATGCAGTCATAATAACAATTTATATACCGTCAATATTAATAGCAGTGTCCGTTTGAGAACACAGTTTTAAAAAGGTACATACAATTTTATTAAGTATAAAAAGACACCGTGCAGAGCACAATACAATATATTTAATCTTTAATTCTGGTAGTTCTCAAATTCCACTGTCTTAATTGATATTATCACCAACAACCACTGGATAGAATGATTTCTCTTTATAAAATGAGGCTTCTCTGGGTGAATTCATGCTGTTTGGTTTCAAAAATACAGTAATTTCCTTTCAAAGGCTACTTACATTAATCAAACACTGTCAAGACTGTTGGCTAGCCTGCATTTGGTTTCTAACATATGCTATGATACTGCCAATTTCCCCTGTTTTGCTTTGCCTCTCTCTGTTTGAGAATAGATCCTTCAAAATATTAATTGCTTCTGACTTGGTTCCAAGTTCACAACCAGAACACTGGTTCAGACCATTTCTACATTCCCCATGTTACTAACCTTTCACTGGCATCAGCTGGAGTTTTCAACATACAAGGCCTGTAGCGTTCTCCCTTAAGCTCCTTTTCTCCCCCAGTCTTTTCTAATGAAGCATAGAAGGCATGCTTAAAATTATTACTTTTTAGAATTTGGGGGTTCCATTTTCTCACTTTCTTGAAAGCAGATGACATTATAGCCTTCCAGCTTTAACTATTTTCTTTGGAAAAGCAGACATGTAAACTTAAGAACTTAGTTATACATTTTGTTTGCACATTACAATTTGGTTTGATTAAAAAAAGTCAGAATTCTAACTTCAAATTGATTTAAATGATAATGTGCAAGTCTTAAAAGAAAGAACTTACACTCCCTCCTCTCTAAAATATATTAACATTAGACTGGAAAATAAATTAAAGAATACAGAAAAGCCGAGATTATGCTATCACAGTAATATCTGCCAAACAAAGCTTGGTCTTTTGCTAACATTAGCTTACTACATTTGCAATACATGCTAAGCAAAGACCCTACTTCTCTAACAGGTACATTCAGACAATATATATTTTATGGAATAAATATATAATATATCCAGTTATAGATTTCTGAATAGTAACTATAATAGATACAAGCAATACCTACGTTTAAAAATACAGTTCTAGGATTCCCTAACTTTACTACTAATAAAATTAAAATTGACCTAAAACTTTCTCACTCTGTTGATGCATAATAAAATATATGGAAACACCAAGAGTAAAAAGCCAATTGCTTCTACAAATGGAATACTTTATAAATATAGTAAATTGCTATTTCCAGAGGGAAAATTGAAAATTATAAACAGGAAGTTAGGTTAAAACAGCTCTACAATATATAGTACAAAGTGGCTATGAAGCGTGATGTACGAGTTTGATGTCTGTGGCAAAATTTTGAACTGATGTAGTTGTTTATTTCTGGAGATAACTGTAGAGAAAGACTCGTCCCCAAAACCAGCCAATCTTGATCTCCTTAAAACAAAACTTTTGGTGACTAGAGAAAGCCAATGGGCCAATTTGTCAGACTAAGGAGTGCAAGATTAGAACAAACAGAATTATTTGGAAGCCCTGGACTTCTCTGTTTCATAGGGTTTACCTCTCATGTGTTCTCGCTAGGAATAGAGTCACAGAAGTACTGTGTATCTGTGAATGCCATGTGCTGAAAAGCCTTACCATGAAGGTTCCCTCCCTATGGCTGTCTTAACTACACTATTCTTGTACTGCACATTCTCCAGATGGATTCTGTTTTGTGTTCCTGTAGTTGTTTCCTTTTGCTGGAATGCTGATGTACAGATCTGGTTGTCTGATTACTGAACTCTTGATTGAGGCTTTTTTTTCCTTGAGAACAACCTAGAATTAAAGAAACACATTTCTCAGAGCAAGCACAAGGAACTGAGGAATGAAGTTGCTGGCTGTCTCTGCCTACCTTTCTTCCCTTTCAGTTTAAAGAAAAAAAATTAAAATCAGTAAAAATACCTTATATAATGAAAAGATGTAGGTAACTGAAAAAAGTAAAAACTTCATGTGAGACTGTGCTGTTTGTATGTTCATCTCCTGCAATGGACCTACTTTACACAGGAACCCAAAACGTACTTCACTGAATGCTACTGTTTATTCATCCTGCCTGAGTTGAGGCCCTGGGATGGGATTTAGATCCCACTTGGAGCCTTTGTTTGCATCAACAAAGCTGGTATTCTGGTGGTCACAGGACAGAGGGTCTACAAGGTGGGTTTTTTTCCCCCTAAATATCAATGGAGGTCAGTGTCAACATTAATAACAATGAAACCATCACTGGGATCTTCAGTTTCTGACCATTTGGGGACTTTTGAAGTCACTTGTAGACTCTTACAAACATTCTGTTTTGGGAACACCTGGTATGAGATGTAGAGGATTGGGATGTAAGTCACCGGGACATGCTTTCTACTTGATTTCATTGGGGCAAATGGAGCATATCTATAAATGTATTCATGTCACAAACTTGCACTGATTTCAGAAAAACTGCATATATGAAGAATCTCTGTACCTCACATGCCATGTGTTTTGACTACACTGGAAAACTTGCGAGCTTCTTGGAAGCTATAGTAATACTGAACATCAGTCAAGAATGAATGAAATACTTCCTATCAAACTGGAGATGAGAAGTAAGAACTTATGGGTTCCCTGTAGAGGAACCACAGCATGAAGTTTGGGTTCCCTGTAGCAGGGAAGGGACTAGGAAGGTCTTTCTTCACATACCAGCAGCAAATCTCGAAGCTTTGTTGCAGAGTGGTAACAGACTATTTGAAAATACATTAAACTGTGTCTAAACCTGGTAGCATATTCTTACTTGTCACAAATGCTCCTGTTTTTAATTAAAAAAACATTCCCAGGAACTACAGACTTCTTATGCAATCTTGCTTGCAAGTAAGCCAGAGCTGCATAGTGGCTACTGATCTCGGGGTTATTAGTTGGAAATTGGCTCCACAATTTGTTAGTGCCTTTCACCTATTTTCCAAATGCATTTTTACTGGGATAGACCATGTGGAAATGTCCCAAAGAATGAGCTCCGATCATCCTCCCTGCAGTATGTACTTGCCGGGACCCTGAGGTCACTGCCAGCACTGACTGTCCCCAACTCCTCCCTGGGGTCCCCTCACCCTGTGCCTGGCCCAGGACACCTGTCAGCCCCCTCGGGGCTCCCCCCAACCACACAGGACCCCCATGTCAGCCCCCCCGGGGCTCCCCCCAACCTCTCAGGACCCCATGTCAGCCCCCTGAAGTTCCACCCACAGCCCAGGACCCCATGTCAGCCCCCCAGGGCTGTCAGCCCCTCCCCCAGTGATGCTGCAGCAGGGCTGGTCTCCAGCTCCCCAGAGTCCTGCCCTGCCCAGCCATAGTTCCCCACCGAGCTGGGCCCACCCTCAGGCCTGGCCTCAGCCGGTCGCCATCCCCAGGGAGGGACCCCCGGGGAGGGTGCACCTGGCTGGGGTTGGGATGGACCGCGGCCCCAGGCCCTGCCCCGACGGACCCCTGGGCCCTGTGAGCTGGTGGCCCAGGCAGGGTGCCGTCAGTGGCCTTTAGGGAAGACCAATGAATCCTCTCACCTACGACATATGGTTTTGCTGTGTAGTTTGCTGCTGTTGCTGCTGCTGAATGAGCAATTGCTGCTGTTGCCGGCGCCGGGCTGTTCTCAGTTTTTCGAAGCGAGCCTCCATCTCCTCCAGCACCTTGGGAGTGTAGCGTACCACCAGCTTGACGCTGTCCTTGGCCGCCTTCAGCAGCTCCACCGCCTTCTCGTGGTGTTCTCCTTCCACGCTCTGGGAGCAGGGAGAACAGATTTAGTAGTGAAAATCTTGCTTTGATCTAGAGCTCTGTCCTCTTTTTCATATGGAAAGGCTGTCGGGGTTTTAGGGAGTTTCCACACCTTGCATTTTTCAAGGGACCGTTACAGGAAAGTGTTAGTTAAGTAAGATTTATGCACTGCTGGGATTTTTATTTTAAATAACCCAAATCTGGTTTAGGTAGCATTACAAACCTAACTTCTGATCTGTGTGAAAAGGAGGGGAAATACTCAACAAGCTGTATGCAAACAAAAATAATGTTAAAAAAAAAACAAACCCAGCAGTAAAAACCCAGTCTGTTTGCAAGGTACAAAAATAAATACTTAAATGTTTGTAAGAAATGAAGAAATTGCAAGTTTGAAATCGCAATTCCTTGCTTATACCTTGTCCCTGTTTGGATCCCGCAGGGAGCGCCATGTGGTGATTAAGCAATCACTGAGCTGCAGGCGAAGGAGCATGCCCGCTGCTCCCGGGGACAAGCTGCCTCTTAGTCAAAGGCACTGCTCACACGTTTAACATTTATGTGATATGGGTTGTCTATTGGAAATAAACTAGTCTTTATCCGGTTAGTTGTAAGCAATCAAACACTAACAACTGAAACACTGCAGGTTCTTGCTGAAGGAATATATATTTTCCCTCCCCTTCTGGAAAATGGTTTACAGTAAGATGATATCTGCTGTGAAACCAAAAGTATTCCCAAAGGGGCTCATGCTCTGATTTCTATGCTAACATTGTTTGAAACAGCAAATTTCCAAAAGGGGGAGGTGACTCGGCTGTGAAAAGAGTCTTTAATTTCTGCCATTAAATGGACTGACCGGAGTGCTTTTCAAGCATGCGGATTGTTCCACACCTTAAGAGAAAGGGAGAAATTTTCCAACAGTGTATGATTGCCTATGTGTGTTGTAGGATATATTCCAACAAACAAAAGTATCTCTGCACAGAAAAAAAAAGACTGCACAACTGAGATCTTCACATGGATTTTAGACCATATAAAAATAAGTAATTTTCTTCCCACATAAAATAAATCAAAGTTTTACTACATGCTGTGTTTTACAACTCTTATGTATACCATGCTATTTAAAATCCCATAGGCCTCCAAAGAGAAGCAGCAGCATTCAAAATATTTGAAGTTCAATTCATGCTAAAAGAATAACTTAGCATCGTTATAGCAACTGTCAGAAGAAAATGCTTTCTATTTTCATCTCTCCTGTTTGACTGATTGTGCAAGAACAGTGAATTATTTCTGCTGTGGCACGCTATGAGCTAGAAATAATGATTTAAAATTTTGAAAGAGCAGACACAATACACTTCTACACGAATAGTATAAACAACACAATTCAAGCTTATCACCTTGCTATTTATCTTTCTTCTCCTGTTAAATATCCTTCAACATATTAATAGAAATAATTATTTCATATCTGGGTCAATCAACTGGACTCCAAGAGTTTCTATAGAAATGTTAAGATGCTTTGAAAATATTAATGCCACTTAGAAAAACAATGAATGTCATTTCAGGTGCTGAAATGATTACTAGAAACAGAGAAAATCTTGAAGTAAACAGACATTTGATTGTTGAAAGAAATGACTTCATGTTTTTGAACTGTAGGTTCAATAAATTCCACCAGTAGGTCTCCTATTCAAAGATCTTCAAGAAAATTCATGATCTGTGATGACCAGATTTGTCAGAAATTGTGATTGGGATAAATGTGGTAAACAAGCACTGCCACCCAAAATACTTTGGAGAAAAATAAGTGTCCTTACAAATATCTGAAAAAGAGGAAATAGTGGTTGCATGTGAAACAGTGAATGTATCTAATGCTCCAAGGAGAGCCCAAATAAAAAGCTATAGATGCACAGGGTATTCTGTGAAGTTGTTTTAATGAACAAGCCACAGATACAAATTAAAACCTTTTCCCCACATCCCCTACCCCATAACTGCTCAATGTTAGAGGAGGCGATCCTAACTAACACATACGGTAACTAGCTATCTTTTATAACTCATTGCTTTGGGACTGGCTTTGATACTGGCTTTTGTAAACAGTTCTCACCTTAAGAGGAACTGCATTAAATTTGGCACTGTTTTATATTTCATTTTTTGCTTGTGAATTGTGGTCAGTGTGACGTGGCATGGACATTCAGAGGAAATGACAGCATACTCAGTGTTGTCGTGATCAGTTTTGCTGTGGAACAGTATGAACTTAGAACAGGCTATGAACAAAAATTATAAGCTCCCAAGCTACAGGAAATACATAAAATACTTGCTTTCAAAGAGTTGGATGTTCTAACTGATATCAATAAGCAATTGTGATTGTATCTGTTCTATAGGGGAATAACTTTACGGTGTACTTTAATACTTCATAGAACTTAGTAAACTGTATTTAATTCATGATTGCCTGTTTTCTTTCCCATTTGCCTCTGGCCTTGTTCTTCCAGTTTACAGCCTGTATTTTCTAATTAGAAACGAAGGGTTTGACCCTGTTGCTATCCAGGTCAATGGAAAACTCCCATTGACTTGAATAGTAATGATACAGAATTAAGCCTAAAGCTCTGAACCATAACCAAAGAGGAGAAAATAACAAAGATAAAAGATAGTGGTGCTAAATATGAATCCTACTCTCCAAACGTACCTAACTCAGGTTTTAACAACTACAGTTTTCACCTGCTATTAATATGATTGCTATACTTGCTTTTAATGTTGTCATTGCTGCTTGCACTTATATTTCCAAAGCATTACAAATGCTTCCGCCGCATAGCGGCAGCCGCACAACTTAAACATCGGAGCCCCTTGGAGTAGGGAAAAGAACTTATACCAGCAAAGGAAGTTGTTTTGCTGTTTGGATTCTTTCACCTCTGCAAACCTCTGAGGCTGTGCCAGCGAAGGACTCCTGCTGGTATCGGTCATGCCTGTTCAAGGGATTTTGCTGACTGGATTACACTGGTTGGGGACACTGCAAGGATCTGACAGTTGTATTACTTTAGAACTGCCCACCAAACATGGGATTTAATAAATTTGTTTCGGAATGTAGATCTTTATTTTATATGTTATTTTTGATTACATATGTTTATATACACTTACGTCTGTATTTCCCTTATTGCATTCACAGATTGCACCAAAAAAAGGGACACAAAATAATGTAGAGACAAAAACAGCTGAAAGAACACCAGATATGGTGTGGGGAAACATCAACTATTACTATATCCAGGCTCACAGACTTGTCTTAAACATAAAAGAAAAAAATTCCACTGTCTTGCAGACAAAAAAAAGAGAATCTGATTGTTACCCCACAAGTTGAGAAACTGAGACGAATATTTCTATTAGATATGTGTAAGAAAAGGCTTGGGTGAGAAATTAGCCATTATAAATCTATTTTGTATCCCTTTCTGTATCTGACGCACACCAGGTATCTGACAAATGCAGAATCTTTGCCAGATATGAACAGCCACCAGCAAGTGCCTTTGCTGAGCCATCTGCAGGTCTTACTGCTTTCAATTTCCTTTACTTTTAGGGGGTGTGGGACAAAAGTATGTAACCAAATCCCCAGCATAATGAGAAAACAGGGTTTTTTTAACATCCGGTGAAACAGCTCAAGGAACAGTCATCCCAGTCATGCTGGGATAGAAAATCTGGATTCTGAACACACAGCTCTAATTTTACGTTGATAATTATAAAGCTGGATAGCGACCAACTTCAGAGCACAAACAAGTTACAGATATTTCATTTTCATTTCATGTTCCACTGCTGAGCCGTCTGTTGTATTGTACATACTGTATATTATTTGCTTTTCTCCAGCTAAATTGAGAGAAGCACAGAGTGAACTAGTCCCAGTGAACAATGTTAAATTTAGGTCTTTTTCCTCCTGTCTCAAGCTGTCTGCAAACAAATTACCACTTCTATAATTTTGCCTTTTAATGAATTATATTGCATGGGCTTAATTCAGCCCAAGATTGGTGTATGAACAGTTGCTCATAGGCATTACTTCAAGTATGCAACTGCAATTCAAACTTCAAAGTCTGTTGTTTAGACTGTGAATGCAAAAATATTTCTGTTGCATCTTGGAATCAGCTTTCTCATGTGCCTACACGCAATTGGGAATTCTATACTGTGGGGTTAATATATATTCTAGAGCACATTCATGACATTTTCTGAATGGAGTATCACGAAATAGAGGTGCCAACAGTCAAATTCAGTATGTTTTGACATCTGAAGGTTCACCACTTTCCTCCTGGGTACTTGCCTAGATGCTGCTGACAGTAAAAGGATTTTTCAAGAACCCTGCATCAATTAGTGAATATAAACTCTTTTTATCTGTCTTTTTATTCACCTGTTGAGAGAAGTGCTGAACAACAACAAAATTATTTGATCTACTTCCAGTCAGTGAAGTTCAGGCAATTTACTTATTAAATGCTCCGTTGATTTCTTTTTCCCTGAGACTAAATAATCTTTTCAGTGGGTTTTCTTTTTTTGCATTGTATCTTTTCTTTCTTATTGTGTACAGGGGCAAGGAAGCTTCCAGACCTATTAGTTCTCTTTTGAGAACATGATGGTTGATAGAAGAAGTGGTAAAAAGTCTGTCTGAAGTGTTGCACTGATATTTTGTTTCAAGAGAAAGGGAATAGCTATTGTTGAGAGAAACAGATGACAACATGAAAGCATGTAGAAAACCGCATTTTTTTCATTCTTTATGGGTTTGCAACAAAGAGGAAATTTAAGTTTGGAAGTCTTATATTTGTGACTGGATTCAGGAATTGCTCCTACATGGCTTTGGTGTATTTAAATATGAGGTTTAGATGGAGGTTTTGCGTGAAAAAAGATTACGTTTTCATTAAGAGAAGTGTAGGGTTATATGAATGAATATGCTTATCCTGTCAGCACTTTACATTCACTTGTAAAAGGGAACAAAAGGCAAAATGAAAGGCAAACTTTGACCCATATCATGTATCAGAGTCTTATTTTTCCTCTCCATTCCAAGAGCCCTTTCATTTTTACCTCCATACTGACATTCACAGTGAAACTACTGCAAAACACTCCACCGTGAAGTATTGACTTACATGAAAAATCGCTATGTAAAACGTGTACCTTTTTACTGAAAATGCATGCTCCCTGTATGTGTTCATTTGTACAGCTGATTCCTCCGACAAAGATATCACAGCTGGATGAATGTCACTGAAAGAAATCTGGAATGTACCTTCCACTGCAAATCAGCACCAGATGTGCTTAGCAAATTTCTTTTGATTTTATGTGTTCAAATGCTCTGAAGGTCACAAGGCTGCTCAAGTGCCACTGAGGCATCACTGTGCTTGGAAAGGGCCGTGTGCCTCAGCGGCTATGAAGTGCAAGAATGACAAAGCCTGTCATTATGCTTTTACTGCAAAAGGAATTTGCAGAATTATCAATTAAGAAACGCATAGCTTCATTGTAAATTAAGCATGTGGTGTGGATTTAAAATGAAGCTCTTCAAGCACCCTCCATTACAACAGAAATTGTAGTGGCACAAAGTTGTCGATGCAGCTTTACCTCACTGCACCACAAATGCACTCTGAAGGTCCCTCGCAGAGCTAATTCTTTTTGTTTCATATGGCTGCATTTTAAATCATGGTATTAGAACAGCTGTGAAAAATGAAAATCCAGATGAATATGAAAGCTGTATCAAATTTCCACATACCACTCCATTAACCGAAAGCAGCTGGTCCCCCCGTTTGAGCCCTCCATGCCTTTCTGCCACTCCTCCAGGAATGATGCGAGAAATATAAATAGGTGAATTTTGTTCCTTTCCTCCCATGACATTAAAGCCCAGGCCTTCATCAGTCTTTGGCAGCTCCACCACTCGCGGGTGTGAATGGCCTTCGCTTGCAGCAAAAGCAGCAACTGTTGCCTGAAAGAAAAAAACCAAGTGATTTGGCTATGTAGGGAGAACATTGATATACATACACTCTGTTGTTCATTTGCAGGAAGAATTCATTCCTGAGAAAACATTTCAGTATCTGACTCTGACTTTTTCTGATTATCTGAAAGCATTTTAAAAATATTAAGTTCCATGCCAATGCTTTTGCAATAAAGGAGTAAGCAGAGGAATAGAGAGTTTAGGTGACTTGTCAAAGATAACGCAGAAAGTTAGCAGCAGAGCCAGAAGTAGGCACCGGGAAGCCTGACTGCGTGCTGGTGAACGCTTATGATCACTTGTGCATTTCTTCTTTGCCTTTTCACAGGGAGGAAATTTATTACTGTGGGATAAGATAATGTGAACTCGACTGTGTTCCTAGCTGAAATAAAGTAGATGAACTGAATTGTTAACTCTCTGCTCTGCTTTCAGTGGTATGGAATTATTTATTTTATTCTTTGGGCACAGGAAAAAATCCTAAAAGGATACTCTTATTTTAAAAAAAGGTTAATTTATAATCTTTATGAAATCGTGCAAACTAAGTAACTCCTGGAACAGGAATATGAGTTTTTATAATATAATTGGATCAAAACTTTCATTGAAAAATTGAATCTCATGACAATGGATTTATAAATCGATTAGAAAAATCCTAGACTGTTAATCTTACTCTAGCAAAAAAAAACCCCACGTAACAAACTGTAAAGCTTGCATCCAGGAAAATATTGCATCTTATACTTAATTTTTCACTACAAGTATTTTCCTACTTATAGATCTTAGTAAATCATTAAATAAACATTAAGAATATCTTTTATCCTTTTCAACGTGTGTTTGTAGTCCAACTGCTCGAACAGTTCTGCATTACGCTGATGTTTTTTGAGCATCCTAATAATGCTTATGCTTAATAGAAGCTAGTGGATGATGTGACATAATGGATCATTCTCAGTTACATGTTTTTGCACATGCAGACCTTGTCATCATGCATACATTTTATGTCAGACATGAATGCACTAGGAGAATGCAATGCAGACAGCCCAGAAATAACCAGGAAATATTGCGATATTGAAACATTGCTCTGTAACCCTGCTGTTCTATATGAATAAGAAATGAGAATGGCAAACTAATTAGATTTCTCCCCGTTTTACTATACCACATAGCAATAATTTCTATGTTTACCTGCAGTGTAGACAAATCAGGATTTCATATACACATTTCTCTGTATAGGACCATAGGCCTTACAAATTTACATTGTCCATTAACTTTCAATTAGAAGAAGGTTAAAAACAGAAGAACAGTGTACAGAAAAGAACGTTCTATTTAGTAAGGAAAATACACTGCAACTTAGTATGTATTAGGTTATTTGCTGGCTACTATACAGCTTGCTTCTGTAAAATACTGTAGAAATAATTTTCTAACACACTCCCAACCTTCATCTTCTGATGCAGCTTTAAATTAAAGTCTCTTAACATAAATACATAATAGTAAGATCTTAGTTCCGTTAGGATTTCAGGGAGTTTTGTCACTAACTTCACAGGAGTGGGACCACGAAGAAATATTTCTGAAGATTTATGGCTTTTGCAGGTTTACCTGTTTTGCATAGCATCTGCTGTACCACCCAGAAGACAGTGTTGAGTACAAAATGATAATGGCAAAAAGAAAGCCATGTTGGATCTCCCTGTTTGGAAGCATCTATCTTTGTGCATGTTATGAAAATACAGAGCATATTTCATACTGGCACACAGAATGAGTTCTTTCATGGTTGTGTGAATTCTCTTAGAAAATGATCGGTTTAGTTGTAGCAGTAATATAGCTGTTATGGTCTAGGGATATGAGAAAGGCAGGTCCATATGGACAAAGAGACAATATATTTTATTAAAACAGCTAATGCATCAGAAAAAATGGGCTTGCACTTGGCTGTGGAGTCTCTTGATCAGGCCATTTTTGTCACTGTTCATATCCTTACCACTTGCTCAGTACCTACAGCTCCCATTAGTTAAAAGTGGAATTTTGACTGATTAGTTTCTATCTCCCAAACCATTGTGTCCTCTCTGGATGAGCTGTATGGGAAAATAGTCCATTAAAATATTGGTTGTTGCAGGCAGACTTCTACAGAATGAACCAGTCAATTTGCTTTTGCAAAGCAACTTTTCAAAAAAGCATCAAATTCCATAGAATCATTCTCTTTTCTTAAGCTACAGAAGCAGCATAAAGGTTGAAATTTTCCGTTATGATTGTTACCTGGGAAGTAGCACTGGTTCTAGACTCTGGGCTGCCACTGATGTCTAAATTTTCTTACAGTGTACACACGAATACCTGAAACACACACGCGCACAGTCAATTACTAGGTCACTTTGGTAACACGTATTTAAACAGTTGCACGTATCCTACCTTTGCAGTGGCCCTGGCTCGGAATTCGGGGCAGCCATTAACAGTTATGGTTTCATGCATGTATTGATACACCTAAAATGTTCATGAAAATAAAATGAAATTAATTATAGAAGCAAAACAAGGACTTTGTATTAAGCCAGACAGGACAGTCCCTTTCCCTCATAAGACTATGTTTCATCAATGCTGTATTCATGCAATCACATAGTCAAGTGTCTGCTAAACCTGTGCATGCTTAAGCTTACAGAGACCATCAATCTGTGTATCTCATGACACTTTGCAAACTGTACATCTTCCAACACGAGTCCAAAAAATTTCCCCAAACCAGGACAGTTAGGTTCTATGTTATCAAAAATTGGTGTCTCCAGGCAACTGATCTGAATACAAATGATCTGAACTGATTTGAGTGGTGTCTCCAACAATGGCTTCTTTGTTCTCTGAACCTTCCTATGCACTAAAGATTTAGGAGACTGATGTTAAAAGAATATGTAAGTTGCTCAGCATACAGATGCTGAAGGTTGGAAGTGAAAATTAAATTTTGGAGAAAGGTCACAGTACTGGTTTCCACCAACCACAGCTAGGAATGGCAAAAAGGGCTGGCAGTCTGGTAGGTCAGACACGGACAATGGGTAAGATTATCCTTTAGAAAGGAATTGTAGTTTCACATAAATGGCATAAAAGCAACATTGCCAATATGTACAACCTCCTGTCATTTTTTTCTGGTATACACTCTTGGCCCACTTTCTCTGGTCCTTAGCTCTCCCTTTTACACATCTTCAGCAAGGAGAAAGGAAGGGGCTCTTTCACACTGCCCTTGTTCTCTAGATTTGTCACACTCTTAGATGAAAAATACTAAAAAATGCCTTGATGCTAGCCACTTTTTTTGAAAGCAAACTTAAAAAATAAAAATATTTTTATATAACACATGGAATTTTTTTTTTTGAAAGACAAAGGTGAATGCAAACAAAAAACCCATTTTATTTAATCTTCTTATAAAACCACCAAACCTAAAAAAGTGTTCTTATATGCCAGTGATTTACTCTGGGCATTTTCTTGACCTGCTTCATCAGGAATTTTGTCTTTTTATGTACTTTATGGCTCAGGGTCCATTCCTCAGAGAGAACCTTTGCTGGCAAAGTATGTTAGCTTTTACAGAAATCTCTTAGGGTCCTTGAGGAGTGCAGATTCATCGTACTTTCCAAAATATATTTACCTTTCACTGATTTGGTGATACTTTAGCAGGAGTGCCAAAACTGCCCTCTTTGGTAATGCAAATGTTTGTCATAGAAGGTGTCAGATCCTGTACTTAACTGACCTATGAACAACGGCTTGTCCCATTGATAGGTAAAATGTCCCCATCCCCCTGTCCTGATGACTTGTTATACGGTATCATAATGATGTGCCATAATGATGTCTCTCTCCCCACCAAGCCTGTTATAAAACTTACACACTGACGAACATATTGCTGCAAACACTTAAATGGAATTAAGATGCGTGGCTCCCTTCTGATCTCAGCGGACAGACACAGTGGTGTAATCAAACACTCTTGAGAGGTAAAATGTTTGGGATGACTGATACACAAATCTTTTTTGAGGGATATCATACACAACGGAAAAGCAAAAAAACTAAAGGAGATAATAAACGCAATCCATTTTAGAGATCTAAAATATGCTAAACGCTTTCAAAGTACAGCAAAAAGATTATTTGTCTTGACTATTGTCAGCACATAAGTCATTCTAGGACTTAATTCAGATAAACTTGGGACAGTGAAGAAAACTGAGACAAGGGGAGCACGCTAAGGAGTTTCTTGCTTTCTCCATTTGAAATGAAATCTTGCTTCCATTGGTAAAATTGACATTGACCTCAGTAGAGGTCAGGATTTTGCACTTAATTTAAAAAATATGGAAAAAGAAAGTTCTTTTGTAGCTTCTAAAGGATCTCTGGTTTGTTCTATCTTTGTACTGGGTGATGCCATCATAAAAATGGGTTGAGTCTACACACTCAGCATTGTCCTGCACAGATTGGTTCAACGTTTATTGTATTGTGTCATAGAATGTATTCTTGTATAAGAACAACTAATACATTATATAAGAAGAATACTGTGTAATTGCAGTAATGAATCATTAAATACTTGTTCCTTCAAAACACATACTGTATTGAACCACTGATAATGCTGTATTTTCTTGGTATCTGCAGGTTCCCCTTCGCCTTAAAGCATGAGAGCAGATTGTACATAGCAGTTTTGCTTGCACAGCTATAAATGCTGTGGCTGGCTATAATGTCTAAAAGCATATATTTGATTACTGAAGTATTATGACATTAAATTGTTTTGAAAGCAGGTCACAGTATTTCAGATACAGGAACAGTTACTAAGAAGTTCTTTAAAATATTCATTACCAAGGCAGAATACCACAAAGGTGAGCTGGTTATGATACATTCATGTTATTACTTGCTAGGTTTGATGTCATATAACACTACATTGTCTGCATCCTACCAGTAGCTAGCTGGTAGGCTTCATAATATCCAACTAATTTGTATACTGGTGAAAGAACAAACTCACTAGTATGTGATTAAATGAATATGTTAAAAACCAATCAACTGATGCAAAAACTTGTGAAAAATATGATCAATAATGTCATATAATCCTTGGGTTCATTTGTAAATTCTCAATGATAACAGATTTAAAACAGTGTTCTGCAAAGAGTTATCAGTGATCATAATATCTATAGCACAGTTCTTAGGAAGTCTTGCATGTCAGATCTCACTCTCTATAAGCAACAGATGTGACCAGTCTTCAATATCTGCTTGAGGCATTTGTAAATCTGATTGTCCTATTTGACTGTTACACAATCTTTAATGTAATTTGAGTTTAAGAAGGATAAAACATACACCTACATAACTTTCTTCTTACTACATCAGTTTAACAACCAAACACAGATTAACTGTACGCGTTCCACCAAGCCCCTTAAACTCTTTGTAGGGTTCAGATCTAATCATTGCTCATTCTAGCAATGCACAAAAAGCACACTGAAGTCCATAAATAATTGTTGTTTGCCTGGAGCCACACTAACCCCTTTATCTACGCTGCTCTCAGCACCACCTTAGCTGTGATTTGTGCACAACGAATCCATTCTGCTGCCTCTTCTATGTACACAGAACAGATAAACTGAAAATCTCTTTGTTCTCAAACTAAGTAAGATGGCATTTAAATCCTCCCAGAGTGGAAGATAGCTTCTTGTTCAATCTGTTGTGCATGACAAGTAATTGAAAAGGTTTTATAAAATCTTTCCTTTCAGTGCCTACTGTTATCTGTACACCTGATTACATTTTTAACGTACAGTGATTCTCCTGAATCTTAACAATCATCCTTAAGTCATCCTTAAGATGTCCTTATAAGATCTTCTGTAGATTTCCTTATTTGGACAAAATATCACTCAGTACAGAAGACAACAAAGGTGAAGAATTTAATTATAAGTATTTGAAAAGCTCCTTTAGGACATTTACTAAAGAGGTCTTTTAAGACGGTGACCTTTGTAGACCATGACAGATGAATCATTTTGAAAGATATCGTCGTGTAATACGAGTGAGCTGAAGAAAGACAATTAACATATCACAGAATCACAAACTGGTTGAGGTTGGAAGGGACCTCTGGAGGGCACCTGGTCCAACTCCCCTGCTCAAACAGGGCTACCTGGAGCCAGTTGCCCAGGACCCTATATAAATGGTTACTATATGTTAATAATTTGAAGAAGAGCTGCAGATCTATTTTTGTATGCTCAGCTATTTCTTTTTAGAGTGTCTAAAAGACTACATGGGTGTTTAGTAATATTATCTGCCGACAAACTCCACACACAGTCTGATGGCCTAGTGCCTACGGAAAAGGGTTTCCACAATTCATTAATAAATTACAGGTGAAATGTCCGTGTTTCAAGACGCAAAGCTGCAGCTGTAAGGTAAATGGTAATGTTTCAGGTAATTTTCCCCCCCAGAGATTTCTACCAAGATTGTCAGTGTCTGTACGCTGAACTTTCATCAGGTAGAAGCGTGCTGCGGACAGGGCTTCGTCCACAGAGCTCTCGTTTGTGCTATGGAGCTAGACATACTTGGCTTTGTTTTCTCTTTCTTGTGGTGCAGAGAATACAACACTCCTGTCAAGAAATACTCCTGAAAGAATGAATATAGATCTCAAGACTTTTTCAGCTTCTGCAGGTAGTCTCCTCAGGCACCATAATCTAAAGTTATTCCCCCACAGTACTCAAAAAATACAAAAAAGAGTGAGGGAGGAAAACTGCAACTAGAAATTCTGAACTTGGAAGTGAATCCTCCTTGTGTTGTGGCAGCTCTTGCTGGCACAGAGAAAAGTACATTTTATTACTTCTCCCAGCAGGAGCTGCAGTCAGTCAGACGCAGCAGGTATTACTGTTAGGACGATGGTCCTCGTCCCCACGCATTCAGCTGGGAGGCAAAGCAGCTCGTTTAGCATTACTGAAGCACAGGTACTTTAGAAGCTAGCTTCTTAACAAAAATTACTCCACACAGACTCATAACAAAGCAGCATGTACTGGGCTGGCCTATTTAAGTCAATGCGAAGCTTTAGGAGAAGGTCCAGGAATAACAGTGCACTTTGCAGCCTGTTTTATAAAGATGGGTAGAAGCAGCATTCTGTTTACAACAACAATCTTTTCTGCTGAACTCCTGAAGTTACAATTTAATTAAACAGATTTTGTTCCATTAACTTCTGCAAGAGGTATTCATCCCCTGATGAAACATTATGTAATTCTAAGTGCAACTGTACCTACAATAACGACGCTCAATCAACTCTAGGACAACTTGGTCTGAACATCGGGAGGGAAGAGGCATGAGGCAGAAATCATTTTACAGCAATGAATGTGTTCAAAAAAACCCACAAACAAAACCCAAGACAGAGTACATTGCAATTCAGACCTGTGATGCTGCTAGCAGGCCTAGAAAAACTTTTCTGAGATTTGTAAGTGAGGAAGTAACCTTTTCAAAAATGTTGGGGGCTTCTTAGCACATGAGATAACATACGTAAGAAGTAGTAATCAGCTGTGTTT